TATAACTAACTTATAATTTCCGATGTAACTTTTCCTGTTGGAAACGTTAATGATTCATGTACTCGTAATAATACAAGCAATAGGGTTACTGCACTTATAGGCAAAATTTGGGTGGAAAATCAATACTTTGTTTTTGGTGCAGGGATTCATTAATTCATTTTGATAAATTTGTACTAAAATTTAAGATTTCTACGTGTACAATCCGCCTAAAGTGACCAAACTTCCATCTACTTTAGGATTTGAGCCCTCCCACCAGCAAGTAACTTATGTTGAATACTTTTGGCTACGTGTCTATTCATCTGTGCAGAAACGCTTCTTCAGTTTCCTCTAGGAAGGATTTGCTGTCTTCTAAAGGTTCACATCTCTTTGATGAATGGCATTCGGATTTACTCGGCTGCTGTTCAGAACCTCTTCTGTGTATGTTCCTCCATGTTTATTTGTTTATTACATGGAATGTAACTGTAAGCTTCTCATATTTATGAATTCTCATAAACTAGAGGATTAATTGAATTTCGCAAACACATACTGATGGTTTATACACGCACTTGTTTATTTATTTATTTTGGGAGTGGGACCTTTCGCCGGGAGGAACCTCTATTCTAAGGATAAATACAGAATAAATATCTTTGCCATGTTCCCGTTCTAAGAAAGTTTTATTCTTCTATTCTCGTGCAAGGTTAAATGATAAGTTCAAAATGAGAGAGTGACTATAGTACAATAGTTATAATGAGGAAATTCAAAAGATGAATCACTGTAGATGGGCTAGTGAATTTGGAAATTGTAGGAAAATGAGTGGGAGGAATGATAAAATAAGTGTGCTCATCCTGTTTCCCTTATTTTGGAAGTAGTGTCCTGATTATGTATGTAGGGTATTATTTATTGATTGGTTATATTATGTGAATTTGGTGAAGATGATTTCACCTAGGGATGAACAACGTAGTTCTGCACCTCTATAAAGAATTTAATTTTAGACAATACAAAAATTTGTTTTATTACATGAAAGAGCCATGTTCTTTATCACAAGGAATATTATTATATTACTTCTACATGCTCAGACGAATTCTCAGCAGACTATTTATGCTTTTGCAGGCATAAAAACTTTCTTTTTTCCTTGTGGCACATTTTCTAAAATCGCCTCCGTGGCGAATAACAGGCACATCTGTAAGTGATTTTTTACCTTTTAATACTTCAATTCACATGCTTGCTTGAAAGACTTGCTGTTCCACCTACGATTTTGCTTCGTAGCAATAGTGAAAATAATATTGTGGTCACCTCAAACATAAAATTTATGTAACAACTATTTGATTATATCAGTTTTTCCTGCATTCATACTTGGTCTAAGGACAATACTGTAATGGATGCTTCATTGAATTATATAGGCTTTCTTTTAATTTGTCTCCTATAACAACACTAGACATCGAAGTATAGTATGTGGTTGTGAAAAATTACAAGTCACGTGGAAACAAATGATGCTTTTGGTGTGCAGCTTCTGCAGAAGCCTGCAATGACTTGATGGCTTATTCGATGGTATTGTCCTGCTGCTGTTATACATGTTGCATCAGAAGGAAGCTTCGAAAAACACTTAACATCACGGTGGTTCCTCTATTACTTTATGTCATATTTTTATTCTTATTAAACTTTTAGGGAGTTGACCCCAAATTTATGAGGAACAATGCTTAGATTTTTGTTCTTGCACACTTTTACTCGACGGATGAACTCGATCAATTTGAGGAAAAGACTTCTCCTCTGAAAGAACAAATGTATATAGAAATTTGACAACTGAGTCTTTGAATACGCACTGGGATCAAGTTCTATCTATTGTAGAAAAAAAGACAATAAAAACAAAGAAAGAAATATACTTGTCTTTTGAGCACTTGCAAAGAAATTCCATTTGGCAAGAGAATTGCCAAGGTGTAACTATTCCTATACTCACTAGAGCTTACATGAAGTAGATTTCATGGACACCCTTCTTCTATCCTTACAGGGTGGCTTATTTGATGATTTTCTCTCCCATTTGATGTGCTGCTGCTGTGCCCTCGTCCAAGAATGGCGAGAAGTGAAGATTCGCGGAGTTGAAGGTAAGTATATATCTGCTTGAAATAGTATTGCATTCAATAAAAACATAAATTATTTTGAGCATGGAAAATATACTAGTTTTCTCCCAAAGTTTAGGAGCCTAGTTTGAATCAATTTCTAATGTTTATGATCCCAAATCGCAGGTCATGAGATGACAGAAACGAGTCCTCCAACTTTCCAATACATGGAATCCTGAATAGCTGGATTTTCGAAAATATGTTAACTAGTTTAACATCATATTTTGATGTACATTGAAGTCATTTGTCGAGTTAATAGCTAGCCGTTGGTTAATAGTTGCTCCGTGTTGGAATTTGTATTGTGTTTTCGAACTCACCATTCTGTACAGTGGCCTTTTACAATTGTTCTAGCTACAGAGATTCTTTTACATGAAATGAAACTTATAGTGGTTTGAGTTTGTAGCTCTAGAAGACTATAACTATCTCTAAAGATCAATGGACTCTATAATTCAAGTTCCAGTTGTTCAAAGCCAACCTCGATAAATTCTTGTCCAACTGGTTTCAAGTCATTGCTTTTGTATTGGACAGTCAAAGGACTCTTGATTTATTAGCTTAGTGCATATTTAGCAAAGATTATAATTGCTTATAAAGAGGGTCAAATTCTGGAGAGATGCTACAAGTCCCGGGATTCAATCCCGGGTCAAACCAAATGGCACCCCCCTATTGGAACAGACCCCCCTCCAATCCCGGGACAACCAGCTTTATTGCAAATTCTATATTTACCTGCAGACTCGTAATTTTTATTAATTTTTTAGCTATGCATCCCTTGGAGCTTACCAGTTATAACACTGTTTATTAGCACTTGGTCAGGGTATGGAATGCTTAGTTACGAAGGAAACGGGCTCAAACTAAGAGTCTGTTTGGTACATATTCTCATTTNATGGAATCCTGAATAGCTGGATTTTTGAAAATATGTTAACTAGTTTAACATCATATTTTGATGTACATTGAAGTCATTTGTCGAGTTAATAGCTAGCCGTTGGTTAATAGTTGCTCCGTGTTGGAATTTGTATTGTGTTTTCAAACTCACCATTCTGTACAGTGGCCTTTTACAATTGTTCTAGCTACAGAGATTCTTTTACATGAAATGAAACTTATAGTGGGTTGAGTTTGTAGCTCTAGAAGACTAGAACTATCTCTAAAGATCAATGGACTCTATAATTCAAGTTCCAGTTGTTCAAAGCCAACCTCGATAAATTCATATCTTCAATTGTCGACTAGATTAATCTTTTTCATTTCATTTTAAAAGGAGTTCGGAACTCTTTAAACTTGATCAAAAAACACCCTTCACTTTTTAGCTTTAACACGATCTAATTACAAATATGATAATTGATTGAATTCTTTACTATATTACTTGGTGCACATATTCATCCAAGCACCATCTAATAATCAATCGCCTTACGCGGGTTAGTAGGCCAATAATAAATTTGTTATGGTGCAAACACATCTTCTCCCATCGCTTAACGGTTAAGAATCTTGACATATACTATGGTTGGAAATNTAAAGGTTAAGAATCTTGACATATACTGTGGTTGGAAATGTGAACAAGAATATTAAAAATATCCTACACGAAGCATAGTAAATTCAAAAATATACCGACAATTCTTATCCTTTACAAGGAAATAAATCAGCCACTTATATCTCTTGGTTGAGTAGAACTTTGGACATGTTTGATACACAATATCGTATCAGACTCGACATACAAGATTACAACTAAGTCGTGTCTTCAACCAGGGGCGGACGCAGACCTTAAAAGTTAGGGGGCACAATCGAATTTGCAAAGAAGTTGAGATAAATTTTACAATCGAAAATTTACGTCCAAAAAAATCAGACCTATGTAATTTTACATCCAAAAATTTACATGGGATATGACTTTTTCGGATGTAAAATTTCGAAATTTTTTGATTTCATATTCCATATAAAATTTTCAAATAAAATGATGAAAATTATATTGAGAAATTTGTATCACAAAAATAATAAATATTAATGAAATAATTGTATTTTTTTTTAAAAAAATGCGAGCTAGACGTCTTTTTTTAATACTCACGTTTAACGTATTTTTAACTATTTTCGATATTTGTTAGGATTATTCGATATGCCCATAATGTAGTTCTCGAAATAAGATTTGAAATGACATAAGCAACTTGTAGATTCGATTAGCGTACGATCGTCGGAGAATTTTTAAAATTAGCATGTTATCGAAATTCAAATTTATTATGATTTTGCCCTTATTTGGTGGAGACTAAAATCAAATTTTTAGTAAATTTTGATAAAAGTTAAACAGTTATGAATTCCATGAAATATGTTATTAAAATTAATTGTTAACTTTGATTTAGATTAAAATTTAGATTTCAATCGATACCAAACGTGACTTTAAAAAAAAAATCAAAAAAAAATTCTCAAAANATTAGCATGTTATTGAAATTCAAATTTATTATGATTTTGCCCTTATTTAGTGGAGATTAAAATCAAATTTTTAGTAAAATTTGATAAAAGTTAAACAGTTATGGATTTCATGAAATATGTTATTAAAATTAATTGTTAATTTTGATTTACATTAAAATTTAGATTTCAATCGATACCAAACACGATTTATTAAAAAAAAAAAAAATTCTCAAAAGTTGGGGCCGCCCATGTCTTCAACCGAGAACTCAATGATGCCTTTTTTTCGTAAAAAAGCAAAGAACTATAATATAAGAAATTAAATAATGGTGAAGAGTCTGTTTTCAGGTGTAACCAGTGTGTTAAACTCTCAATATCTTGAATTTTGTCTCAACCAACCTTTCAAACCACGCAAAATAACTGAGCAACAAAGTGACATAATATTAGGTACCGGCCGGTATGCACTTGTAAAATTATTATTAAAGCTCTAACAGAAATGTAATTAACTATTCTTCTAATAAATCAATGGTTTTCAAGAAATTAATCTTCTACATATGCACTTTCTTCAGTCTCAGAAGAAAAAATGGAATTAAACTACACACTGCTGATTCCAATATTAATCAAGAAAACTTGATGAAGGAAAGAGTAGGGTTTCGATTCGATGAGTCCAATGTGGAGGCTACGACGTTGTGTTGTGTCTGTTTGTCGAGTTTAAGCCGAGGAGAGCGCCGTGTGCTGCCGTGTCTGCATGAGTTTCATAAAATTTGTGTCGACAGATGGTTAAACGCGTGCCGTAAAACATGCCCGGTGTGCCGGTTTGCGGTCGGTGTGGATGAAGGGAAGAGACAGGAAAGAGAAGAGTTAACTGAGGAGATGATGATTTGGTTTTCTTCCTTTCATGTAGCTGGCTTCTGACCCAGGTTTTATCGACTGGAAATTTGCGTTTTGGGCATCAGCGACGGAAAATTCCGTTAATGGATTTTTATTTTTTATTTTTTTGAGTGTTGAGTTAATTCTCTTGTTTCTCTTTCCCACCATCGCATGAGCATATAAAGACTTTGTTATGAAGAAAATAGGATTTGTATGGGGAAGATATTGGAATATATGATTTACTCTTTTTTTTGGCTGAAAAATGAATTTCTACTAATAATAAAAAGGTTATGTCAAAGATAAAAAATTGAAATAAATTAATGTGTATATTTTCTAGTAACTCAAACTTTTAAATGAGACGATTCATTGTGTATAGTATTAGAAGACAACGATCTTGAATTCAAGCCATGATAACGTCTATTTATGAAACATTGCTCAATGACCGGGTCAATGATTTTTTTTATAAAAAAAACAGAGTTAAGGAGCAAAAATAATAATATTTAAATAAAAGTATCCATTATGTAAGAATCGAAACATTGACATGGCCGATCGCTATGTTACCTATGATTTAGCCAACCCAAAATCCAGTCGAATCATGGTTTTTAATTCAATTGAGCTAAGACACTTAAAATATATTGTTGATGTTAATAAAAGTTATAAGATTAGGGGTGAACATGATTCGGTTCAATTCGATTGCAAGAGAATCGAAACTAACTTATAAATTTGACAATAATATGTTATTTCCTTTACTCGTATTGGGCATCTAGCAAAAATGGTAAGAGAAATTTTATATCGATGGAGGAAATTACTATATGAATGTGGGAGAATTATTGGTATCTTGTAAATACAATAGTCGAGTCCAACTTTAATTATTGAATCAAATCATTTGGATCGATTTGTTTTTGTTCAGTTTTGGATTCGCTTAGAGGTATCGTACCATAATTAAGTTTTTAAATGATCTCAGAATTTCAACAACTATTTTCATTCTCCTAATGTTTGAAACAACACGATAATCTAACTAATGATATGTTTCATCTTAATACCAACTCACAAACATAATCCAAATTTAAAAATTCAAAAAATAAGTTGTCTAATAAAAATTATTCGTCAACGTACTCAATGACCAAAAAGTACATAACGATAGTAAATACATAAGTGACTTTCATTTCCATCTCATTGATTCCTTCACTTCTAGCCATCAAATTTACGTGAAAAAAGCAACATGTAATATAAATTAAAAGTAATAGGAAAAAAATATCTTTATGATATTACTAATACTTATCAACCATTTAATCATCCCTTTTGTAGTCTTTGATAGCGAGATTGAGTATAATTGAAAGGGAGAAACGCCCCTTTCAAATGTTTCTTCATCTTCGACCAAGACTAAAATTTCTCTTTACCATGTTGTTCCCAGTTTAGTTTCACCTACTACCAAAATGCAGCAACAAGACCCCGCAGCCTCTTGGCTACAGGCTACCATAGGTAGATTGCAAATTTGAGTACGACTCATTCGTCTTAAAAAGTGTACTGCGGAGGACAACCCATGCACAAGAGAAATTTACGTAAATAAATAACTAAAAATTAATCAATAATACTGCAAACAAACAAAAGATTAATTTAAATTACTTTGAGAATATAATTTAAAAAATAAATTGAAAAATTTAAACCCTTGAGCAGCTCCACATTCGATCGATAAACTAAAGTGAAAATGAGAGGAAAATAAAGAAGTCAATAGACTTGTATATATATTTTATTGAGAGATTATAATTATGATTGTACCGAAATAATCACCATTCACAAATTCTTTTTTATTTACAACATCCCTCCTTGTTTGACTATTTACAAAATAATTGTCTCATTAAAAAATTTGTATTCCAAAATTCTGATGGAACAAAAATACCATACGAAGAAACAAAGAGTAACCTTGTTAAAATCTTGTGAAGAAAAATGAGATAAAACTTGAGCGAAGGAAAAATAGTACATATATTCCCATAATTTTAATTAATGAAAATCCTTGTATTGAGTCATTCATGTCTTTTACACCAATGACTTCAAAACCTGAATTTGGTGAAATAGTTCATGTTATCTTGTTATAGCCTTCAAGCAATATCATTTTCATACAAGATATTTTTCTTTTAGTAAGTATGATGGTCTGTTGAAAAACAGATTTTGTTGTTTCTCTCTTCGAGAGTCTCAAACAATTTGTGAAATATAAGAATATTATTTTGACGGTAAATGTCTTGTAGATTTGGACCTTTTTTATATTGAACATGTCTCATTAAAACCTTATTAAGAAAAATTCCGTAGAAAAAATTCCAACGAAGAAAAAGAGTACATTGTTTATTTGAGTATGCTACAAAAGTCGTCACATTAAAAACCTTGGAAGGAAAATCGAGGGACAAAGCTTTTATCAAGAAAAAAGAATACAAAACGTATTTACCGTCTCACAATAATATTACTTGAATGTTATGTTTCGGGAATATTAAATATCAGTCATGCCATACGAGTTGGTCATAACCACATTCTATACATAAATTTTTATGCATTGCTAGGATAATATGATATAGACTTGTGATTGCATCCATCACGTGATAATTTATCTATTTATTTAAGTCTTTGTGAAATTTATTTTAAGGGTCATGCATTACATATTACGACTTTATTTTTGTATAATTATATAGATTTAGGTGTTCGGATTGTGTGTTCAAGGCCGGCCCTGAGAATTTAGAGGCCTTAGGCGACTAATTATTATGAGACCCTTCAAAATAATCATTTTTCTTAAGTGTAGCGAAATTTAAATATTTAAATAATTAACACTTTAATATTAAAAAGAAGACTTTATATAATTCAACAGATAGAGTAGCAAACTAAAACTTTTCTTA